GTTACTGTCTGTCGAGGAAGTAGCATACTGTAGTGCTTAAGACGATGCACCTTGTCCATCTGCTTTAGTCTCAATAAGAGTGTATCTCCAGAATTTATCATCAAGGTACAGTCCTACATCCTAGCGATGGAGTGGGCGTTGCCGCGCACATTACTTGAAAACGGCGTGGGATGCGTTGTGCGTGGTATGTTTCTTTCTGATACCTATCGTATGCCCTTGTTGCCCAGTATTTTGGAACTGTTATATCCCTTCAAAAACGCACTGCCGCCAAATTCAAATGATGGACGCATCACGGACTCCCCATCCCTGGAATTTATAGTGTACTGTAGCTCAAACGGGTCCAATAGAAAATAAGCCACTGTAGACACAAGTATAACGCTGATTTCGACGTTAGTGCAATACATCACATGGGAAGATAGTTGCGCGTTTTGAGGTTCCCAAGGAGGTGTAGAGGAGCAAATCTTGCACGATTTGCTGTGTTTCTAGGTCTTCTAGGAATACCATTGCATCACTGCACGCCACTGCATGGTTGACATTAAACCGATTTTTTGATTTCATGGACTCTGGAATGAACTCGTGGCCGTGGTGCGTGACAGAGGGATACAAGGAAAAGGAAATCAACACCCAGACAAGCTTGATCCCTCACTCGATTGGAATCCGAGAACAGCTCATGACCGTTGACCATGTCGCCGTGTTCGTTGAAGAACGTTATAGTGCTGCGATGGTGGAAGTGTCTAAGCCGGAACCTACTTCTTCGGTGGAGCAGCAGGATCAAGCTTAAGCCATTGAAGTTCCCTTTTCTACGGGAGGTATGTATTCCATTCATGTTCACAAGGGGTGATCAGCGGACGTACAAGTGAGTGTATTCATCCTTCTCATACGGCCTAGTACGAATTAGCGAGTCCAGGCGGGATGGTAAGCTCGGTTCAATCGAGCGGGAGCCGATCCGAGGTTCAACTTCTAGACCGCACGTTTAGTATGTGGCAGCACTTCTCTCTACACTACCTCCGCCCTATTTAATTATT